ATCTATCTATCTATCTATCTATCTATCTATCTATCTATCTATCTATCTATCTATCTATCTATCTATCTATCTTTATGGCTAGATCTCTAAATGGTGAATATTCATAGAGGGAATGTTTTTGATATTCCATATGTCCTAGTTTAATAGAGTGTTATGATTTGATATGATTCAGGTGGGTTAAATGAGGACCCAGATTGTTGGGGGCAATATGCTGACTCTGTAAAATCACTTAGAGAGTGCTGTAAAGCACTATAATATAGTATATAAGTCTAAGTGCTTTTGCTATTGCTATAATATGTGATAAAAATAATAACTTTTCTGAAATTATAACAAATAGGAAATATGTATGTATGTAAGTATGTAAGTATGTATGGTTTAATAAATATTTTCTTCATTATATACTCAACCCTCACCAATCATAACCTCCACAAAATGTGCAACATTTAACCAGTACATTTATTTCTTCTTTCTTTTAATGGTATAAATTATATTAGTAGTTACTGTATATCAATGACTACAATTTTATTACAGAGTTCTTTAATAATTTAATATAGTAATACATAGCAATAGCTTAAAGGCAATAATTTTTATTTGTAGCATTAAATTAAAATGTGTAGGGTCTGTGATTTCCTTCAATAGATCTTCTTTAATGGTTATATTTTCTTGTCATGTAATGTAAAAAATTATAATCAACTGTGTGTATGCAGTGAAAACATCATGAATGTAAGCCTAGGACTGCAGAAACTGATTGTTATTTTTAAAAATAAAAATTACAGTCTGCTTTGATTCTAAATTATAAAGCTACATAATTTCTTTTCCTAAATAATTAAAACACTTAACATATTATCCATAATTTTAGCAGTCTCATTTCCCATGCATTATTAATCTGATATAATATAAATGAAACAGATGTAATTTCTGTCTAATTTTAATATTTGTGTGAAGATTAATTACATGTGAGTTTAATCTTCTGTGCTATTGCTGAAGCTTAAATTAAAAATACTTTTTTTAGAATATCTCTTGAACCTAAGCATAATGGAAAAGGAAAATTTCAATTTCTATATGAGCATATATCAAAAGAAAGCAGAGTCTATAATATCTACTTAATTAAAAAGCTGGAATAATTAAGAGAACATTAGACGTACACACATTTTATTAATAATTTATGTTCTTTATGACCAATAAAGGTTTCGATCACTAGCCTTTCTGTGGGAGGAATCATTCACCAAGATCACACGTCTAATATTTCCCCAGAAAACTAGAACCTAGAAAGTTTTGAATGTAAAGCTCTTTCTTTGACACTACAGGTAGTTCACATTTAGTGGCAGTCTTGTGCAGTGATTGTTGTTATAATATTAATGAAAAATTAAGTTGGTATCAATCTTTGAATTTATGACTTTTACAGGTCTTTTACTTTTACAGTAATTAGAATGCTGTAGTTAAACTAAAACACTTAAGTAGAGGATACTTGGTTGAATTTATAAATGCTTAGCTTATTATACAAATGCTAAATGTAAAAGGACTGAATCTCAGTATATTCAGTGATATATGAGAGTTGACTTGAGGGGCAAGACTCAATATTAGGGTTATGGGTGATGTTTCACATACTGCGTTAATGCTTAATAGTGGCATGTTCCAGGTTAAAGGAAATGGTTTAGGGATATTTTTGAAATGTATTTCTTCATAGCAGTGACCTTTATACTAGATCATGTTTGACAATCTGATGAAAAATGCCCACAATACAAACAAAAGTTAGCAATATTTTATTGCATTGGAAATTAATAATAATCTCTCAATGAAGGACTATCCGGAAGTGGTAGTGGATTTTGTGTACTCTGATGAAGAAGACAGCTATTCCTATGATTTCAACAATAATAATTAAGGCTCATCAGAGAATCCAGAAAACTCTCTTTCCTTTAAACAATACGTGACATGTAATTTACAGAAATCACTATTGGATCGAATGTCACCTGCATCAACAAAGAATGTGCTAGGTATTGGTGTCCTATTCCATCTGGTATTCAAGCCAGTATCTGTAGGACTATGACTATTGGAAGAAAAGTTGTTTACAAGTTACAAATATACAAATATAGAAAACAAAGAAATAATGATATGCTATTGTTGAAAACAAACTCTTTCCACCTGAGCAAAAATGAAACTCCTCAAATAGCAAAATAAAACAATATCAACTAACTGACATCATTTTGGAAAACGTCAAGAAAAGGAAGACCAACTTTGGTTTGATTACAAGAAGACATTCGACTCCTTGCCATGATTAGATAAACAAGTGCCTACAAATAACAAGTCAGTAGAAACATATGAAGCTTTTGTGCAAAGAGAAATGACACAATGGACACAGTTATTGACCAGGTCAATTGTGATGGTTTGAGAGAAACTAATATCAGGAGAGAGGAATCTTTCAAGGAGATTCACCATCATCATTATTGTATGTCATTATATTGATTCATCTCACAACAATATTGAACAAGTCAAATCACACATCAAATATCAAATACATCTGCCAAGCTATCACAGCTTCTT